TTGACGAGAACTCGTAGTCAGCAAACAACCCCATCAAGACATAGTGAAAAAACATCTCAAGCCAAACCCGATGCAGGACTCATGCATAAGCCATACATCCCGATAAGTCTTCAACCAAGACCCATCACATACTCGTCTCCAAGTATAACAACTCATAATGCTCCACCTGCATCACAAGCCCCGGGCAAGCTCCACCTTAAGGCCAACACACCTACACCAGGAGCTCCCCAACTTCGCCCCTCAGGGCCTACTACATCACGTAGTAATCAATATTTAGCAAGTCTAAGCAATGTTTAAACTTGCTAAACGGAACAGGCTTAGTGAAGAAATCAGCCGGGTTGTCAGCAGTCCCAATCTTCTTCACCTTAATCCTCTTGTCAGTACGTAAGAAATGATACCTGACATCAATGTGCTTCGTCCGATCATGGTGTACTTGATCTTTAGCTAAGCAAATCGCACTTAGACTATCACAATACACTGTAGCAAAATCCTGTGCAATACCCAGTTCACCTACTAGGCCTTTGAGCCGAATAGACTCCTTAGCTGCAGAAGTTAGAGCCATATACTCAGCTTCAGTAGTTGACAACGTAACTGATGACTGCAATGTAGACTTCCAACTAACCACAGAACCACCCAAAGTGAACACATAACCAGTCACAGACCTCCTGGTATCCACATCAGCTGCATAATCAGAATCACTGTACCCAGTGACCAAGCATTCCTTACCATTCCCGTACACAAGACCAATATCAGCTGTCCCTCTCAGGTAGCGAAAAATCCTTTTCACCCCTTGCCAGTGTTCCCTCCCAGGTCGAGCCATAAACCTGCTTACAACACTAACAGCATGCGCAATATCCGGCCTAGTACAGACCATAGCATACATCAAACAACCAACCGCGTTTGCATATGGAACTCTAGACATATAAGACAACTCCTCCTCTGATTGAGGTGACATAGACAAAGACAACTTACAACTAACAGTAGTTGGCGTACTTATAGGCTTCGATTTTTCCATCCCAAAACGAGACAAAATCTTTTCAATGTAGCTTTTCTGAGTCAAGAAAAGCTTACCTCTAGCCCGATCCCTGTAGATCTCCATACCCAAAATCTTCCTAGCTGCACCCAAGTCTTTCATGTCAAACTCCGAGTTAAGCATCTCCTTTAATCTAGCAATATCAGATTTATTCTTTGTGGCAACCAACATGTCATCAACATATAACAAAAGATAAATCATGGAACCATTATCCAGCTTACTATGATACACACAGCAATCATATGAATTCCTGTCAAAACCTTGTGAAACCATAAAAGAATCAAACCTTTTGTACCACTGTCGGGGGGATTGCTTAAGTCCATACAATGACTTTAGCAATCTGCAGGCATAGTGTTCCTTTCCAGGAGCTTCGAATCCTTCGGGCTGCTTCATCAGAATCTCCTCCTCCAAATCGCCATGAAGGAAGGCCGTTTTAACATCCAACTGCTCCAGCTCAAGATCAAAATGTGCTACAATTGACAATAACACACGGATAGAAGTATGTCGAACCACAGGTGAGAATATCTCAACAAAGTCAACCCCTTCTACCTGACTGAACCCCTTAGCAACTAGCCTAGCCTTAAAACGTATTTGCTCAGTTTCCGACAACCCTTCTTTCTTCTTGTAAATCCATTTACAACCCACAAGCTTCCTCCCTTCCGGTACCTTTACCAGTTCCCACACTCTGTTCTTGTAAAGGGACTGCATCTCTTCACCCATTGCGGCAAGCCATTGCGCAGACTCACTACAACTAATTGCTTGTTTATATGTGGCAGGTTCAAATGACTCTACATCATCAGCTACACTCAATGCATAACCTGTCATCGCATCAACACAGTAATTTCTTCCCTCCATCTCTTCAATCAATCTAACAGGCTTCTTGATAACTCGTTTAGGCATCTCAAGAATGGTGTCAGGTTGACTAGATGACCCCTGATTAGATTGCTCCACCTCATCCCCAGAGTTAGAATGAGTAGGAGTAATCTCAGGTTCAGGAGTACCCGGCACTGGAACATCAGCATCATCATCAATATATTGTACCCGAGGTAAATCAGCAATGGTAGACTGATGTACCTCAAGTACCCCATCTGTCTGTAATAAATTGTCTCCTTCCCTTCTCAAATCTGAAATCTCTGCATTTTTAATTGAATACATGGTGTTTTCATCGAAAGTAACATCCCTACTAAGAATGACCCGACCCTCCGAAGGTGAAAAAATTCTAAACCCCTTCACACCATCCCCGTACCCAACAAAACACCCCTTCTTGGCTCGTGGATCCAGCTTACCCTCAATAACATGATAATAAGCAACACAACCAAAAATCTTCAAATTCGAAAAATTAGGCAACTTACCACTCCAGATCTCAAACGGAATTTTGGAATCAATTCCAGAATGAGGACCCCTATTAATGACATAACAAGCTGTTAACACAGCTTCACTCCAGTACCTCCTCCCAAGCCCTGCATTAGAGAGCATGCATCGGACTCTCTCTAGCAGTGTCTGATTAACCCGTTCTGCTACACCGTTCTGCTGTGGTGTCTTCCTGACAGTATGATGCCGACCTATACCCTCATCTGCACAGAACTGATTAAACTCGTCTTTGCAAAACTCTAGCCCATTGTCCGTTCGTAGCTTCTTGATCTTCCTTCCTTGTCGATTTTCCACCAAAGCTTTCCATTGCTTGAAAACTTTGAAGGCCTCATCCTTTGACTTAAGCAACCTAAGCCATGTGTATCGGGACTTGTCATCAACAAATGACACAAAATAGTGGTAACCTCCCATACCTTCAACTCTAGATGGACCCCAGCAATCTGAATGGATGTAATCGAGCACTGCATCAGTAATGTGAGCACCCTTGCTGAACTTTGACCTGTGTTTCTTACCAAACACACAATGCTCACAAAATTCAAGGTTGGCAACCTTGACCCCGGATAGAAGACCCCTCTTGGACAATAGCTGCATCCCCTTCTCCCCCATATGACCAAGCCTCATGTGCCAAATCTTAGTCATCTCCTGGTGAGATACAGATGCGCAAACCGCAGAACTAGGCAGTGTAACACCCTCAAAAACATAGAGGGTGTTCCTTTTGATACCCTTAAGTACCAACTCAGAACCTCTGAAAATACACAACTCCCCATCTGAAAACACACCATTGTACCCCAATTCATCCAGGGTACCCAATGAAATCAGATTCTTTCCTAAAGCAGGAACATGCCGTACATTAGTCAAAGTTAACCTCCGCCCATCAACAGTCCTCAACCTCATGGAACCAATACCTGTGACCTTACATGGAGCATTGTTACCGACTATAACCATACCCCCATTGCGAGGTTCATATGTATCAAACCAATCTCGACGTGGACACATATGGAACGAACACCCCGAATCTAGAACCCAGTTATCAGATAAATCATCAGACCTAGCAGAACTGACTAATGCTAAATCTTCCTCTGAATTATAGCTCTCATTCGGTTTCTCTTCAACTACAGCAGCCTGGGACTTGTTTTTCCTCACCGGACAATTATTCCTAAAGTGACCCGGTTCTTTACAGTAATAACATGTTTTAGTAGTAGTTTTACTAGATCCATCCTTGCCGTTTCCAGCACCCGACCCAGCATTGTTCCCCTTGTTAAACCCCTTATTCTTTTTAGACTTTCCGGACTTAACAAATAACCCACTACCATTATCCCCATTATCACTCGTAGCTTTCATTCTGAGTTCCCTAGTATGAAGTGCTGCCTTCACTTCTTCTAAGGTTATAGAATCCTTACCAACAACAAAAGACTCTACAAAATTCTCAAAGCTAGACGGTAGAGATACAAGTAAAATCAACGCAGCATCCTCATCATCAATTTTAACATCTAAATTACGTAAATCAAGCAAAATAGAGTTAAGTTTTTCTAGATGTTCCCGTAAGGAAGTACCTGACTGCATCCGGAGGCTAAACAACCGCTGTTTCAGTAATAATTTGTTGGTCAACGACTTAGTCATATACAATGACTCCAGCTTCAGCCACAATCCAGCCGCCGTTTCCTGATCAGCAACCTCCGTGATGATTTGATCATCAAGACTAAGTAATATGGTAGAGTGTGCCTTCTCTTCCATAACTTCTAACTGCGAGTCAGTCGGTCCGTCTCCTGACTCCGAAGTAGTACTCTTTGGAGCCAACGGACGCCATATCTGCTGTTGTTTTAACAGAGCCTTCATCTTAATTTGCCATAGCCCGAAACTATTTTTCCCGGTAAACTTCTCAATTCTTATTGTTGAATCTCCTGCCATTGTTATCTTCAAGAAACTCTCCAAGGATTGAACCTGAGCTCTTGATACCAATTGTTGTGCGACAGCGGAAGCAAAGGTCGTAAACAAACAAGAAAACAATAAAGAAATTCAATGCAAACAATAAGAACAACACCAAGAATTTACGTGGTTCACTATCGATGTGATAGCTACGTCCACGGGCACCGAGATCGAATGATTTCACTATAAACTGCAAAGATTACAAAGATGATTCTTGTATTTCTCAAGAACGGCTTTCACTCTGTCTCTCTTCACCCTAATACTGATATTAGGGAGGTTTTATATTAATCCCTAATTAAAAGATACTTGGGCAAAAAGATAATAAAATAAGATAACCTAAAACCGCAAAATCCGCGTTCCGTATTTTTCCTTCTCCGCCCGGTCAGACCGGGCAAGGTCTGCCCGATCGGGCGCGAGAAGAAGACTCCATACGAATGCTTCAACGTATCCAACCCCCACCGCCCGGTCAGACCGGGCAAGGTCTGCCCGATCGGGCGAAGGCTCGCCCGGTCGGGCGAAGGCTCGCCCGGTCGGGCGCGAGAGCAGCTTCTTCAACGAATTTGCCAGGCACCTCTTCTTCTTCCGCCCGGTCAGACCGGGCAATGTCCGCCCGATCGGGCGGACAAAGCTACGAAGTACGAGTCACCTAATATACTTATCAACACTATGTTACTGTACTTATCCTTTATTTTACATTTATATTTACTCTTCTTTTTCTCTATCTGTCCTTCTCATGCCCAGAAACTGTCTCTCTCTCTCTTTCTCTCACTCACTCTTTTTCGTCTGTCAATTTGCTTTTTTTTTTTTTCTTCTTTTTTTGAAAAAATAAAAAGAAAAACTTTAATCATACGACAAGGATCGGAGTATTTATAAATGAGTTGCCTCTGATAAATAATGGTGAATTGAAGCAGTAGTAGTGAGAGTGGCAGATGTAACACTACTTATAAATATTAATAATCTTCTACTACTACTATACTGGTGGTAGTATTTTCAAAAGTGGTACATATTACTAGCTCCTACCTTAATAATAACAACAATAATACTCGATTTCGATTTCGAAAGATAAATCTCATCATCTTCTACACAAATGAGTGATCCAGCTTATTGCAATTCCAATATGTTCACCAAATGTTTCAACTTCATCCCTCTTCATAATCACACTACTACTGCTGCTACTCATTCTACTACTACTTCTACTAAACCTATTTCACTTCCCAATTCTTATTTCCTTAACAATGCTACCACTACTACTAATTACCCTCTTCCATCTTCTAATTATTGCAATAATAATAATGGTGGTTTCGACTTGAATACAACTACTAGTACAACTACAACTGATAATGAAATTACCTTGAACAACAATATGTATGATTCTCATCATCAAATTCCTTTCCCTTCAAAAGAGGCTCTTCCACTCCTCAACACCCTAATTGGGCCTTCAACACTTAGCACCCATTATCATCATGGAAATAATGAGATGGTGTTATCCGGGTCCGGCAGTAAGGACACCGAGAGCCCTAAATTCTCAACCACTAGTACAACAGACGACGATGAGAGCGTCACAGTGGCACTTCACATAGGGCTTCCTACACAGCCCTCTTGTGTAGATCAGAAAGATGAAGATGCAGAAATGGGTTCAGATGCAGATGATGGTTCAGTACCTAAAACAACCCAGCAATTCCAACAAGTCCAAGGTCAAGGCATACAGTATTGGATACCTACCCCTTCTCAGATACTTATTGGTCCTACCCAATTTTCTTGTCCTCTTTGTTCCAAATCCTTCAACAGGTTTAACAATCTCCAGGTATGATAGATAATTAGATAGATATCATTTGTTCCTTCCCTTTTTTTTTTTTTTTTTTTGTGTAATTTGCATCTTTACTTTACAGTTCTACTAGCAACTTATCACCTGTAAACTTCTTTTCTTGTTATAATACCTCCGTTATTATTTGTGAGACATAAAAATTCCTCTGTTGCAACTCATAAGAAACAGAAGTAGTAATTACTTTTATTGCTTTAGGGTAGTTCTCTACCCTAAACCTAATTGATAATCTTATCAATTTATCTAATTGACTCATATTTTGATTAATACACTGCATTTTTCATTATTCAATTCAGATTGTTTTAATCTTAATTGATTTTTATTTTAGGGTTCTAGATGCAGCTGAGTGTTGTAAATATTGACCGTGTCTTTCTAATAATAATTCAACATAAATGAAATCGAATACACTATTTTTGAATCATCTCTTGAATTATGCTCCAACTTTATCTATAATCAAATTTCTGCGTGCCTTGCAAAGTAGAATGTGATGGTTGTATATCAGATGGATAATCAACCTAATTCTGACTGATTGTCCAGTCAAGTGCCTGTGTTCGTGAAGTATTGATATAAATGTTGTACTTAATTAACTTCTTGAGATATTAGAATACTTGAAAGTTGGTTAATTATTGAACAAACAATAAAAATGCGGAGTACAAGTGTACGACTTATTGATAATGTCAGAGCGATTGCTTAACTGCATTCCCTTGGTTAATCATAAGTAACTTAATTAATCCTTTATTCCTCTAATCCACTCAAACAGCTTTCATCTTTTCTTTGAAATTGAATTTCTTCACACTTCACAGCCTTTAATCAAGTTGAATTGTCGGTATTAAGTGTTAGTCTTTCAAATTAAAATTTCAAGTTTTAGGGTGTGTTTTATTCACCTGATTTTCACTTAACTGAACTTATTTGAAATTATTTGAACTTAAATGAACTTTTTTGAACTCATTAAAACTTGTTTTAGTTGTAATTTAAATTTGGATAACCCTTATCAGAACTTATATTTCCTTGAATTAAACTTATCTGAACTTATCTTAACTTATCTGAACTCATTAGACCTGAAATAAGTGAAAATAAGGTGAACAGAACGGACCTTTAAGGATATGAAATTCCGTAGGATAATGTAACTTTTAGCATCTAAAAAACAAGTCTTATGCTTGTAAGGTTTCTTCGTCTCCTCATAATAAGTAATGTTCTTTTATGGATTTCTGAAGCATAATGCTCTTTTGATATTTTTTTACAATGTATTTTTGCATATTTTTTATAGACTGAACCACACATTGGAAGCAATTTGTCACACCAAGACTTTGGTATACTCATACTGAGAATTTGCAGGAAGTAATAGTACTAAGTGTTGTTTCGACACCAAGATGCATGTTTATTTCTAACACATAACGATCCTTTTTCTCAGGGTAAAATGTAGACCACTTTGAATGAGTTGTCTATTGTTTTCACGGAAATCCATAAATACATGTCTGTCTAGGTTTAGTACAAACAATCACATACATATTGTTCCTAATTAGATCAATGCCTCCAATTTTATTAAACTACTATATATAGCTCTACTCAGTACTCACCTTTAATCTAGTGTTATATGTATACCAGTTTTAGAAATAAGATTTTCATTTAATTCATTGAACAACAGAAAGTTACACATACAGGAAAATAGAATTGCACCCACAACAAAGATTAGCTTAACTACGCGCATAAGGGAAGGTTGCGTTACTTTCATGATACGGATTATATATGTCTTAGACGGACTTTGTGTAGGAGCCTTGTGCACTAGAATTTTATAGAATATAGGTTGAATAGATTTGATTATTAACATGATGTTAAGTTCTACCACATGATAGATTGACAAAGAAACAAAAAAAATTGTTTCCTAAGCTTTCTCAATTATCACTCCTTAGATGATTTGGTTAATAATTTTATTAAAAAGTTGAATGTATAATATTGATTTGATTTTGTAGATGCACATGTGGGGGCATGGTTCTCAATACAGAAGAGGGCCAGAATCACTGAAGGGTGCCCAACCAACACCCATGCTAAGACTCCCATGCTATTGTTGTGCACCTGGATGCAAGCATAACATAGAGCACCCAAGATCGCGGCCTCTCAAGGATTTCAGAACCTTGCAAACACACTACAAAAGGAAGCATGGCGTGAAACCATTCACGTGCAGGAAATGCAGCAAGGCATTCGCCGTGAAAGGGGACTGGAGAACCCACGAAAAGAACTGTGGAAGGGTATGGTATTGCGTTTGTGGCTCCGATTTTAAGCACAAGAGGTCTTTAAAAGACCATATTAAGGCCTTTGGTCATGGTCATTTTGCCTTTGGAGTTAATGGATTGGAAGAATGCTTGGACGAACCTCATGCTTCCGATGCTGATTCTAGCTTATGATTGACGTTATTGATACATATTTACTTGAGTTTTTTTTTTTTTTTTTCTTCCTGTTTTCTTCTTCAATCATTATTGATTTTGTGTAGTATATGCTGTAAAATTTGCGTTGTTATTTCTGGCTTTGTTTACTCTCTAATTGCTGCAGATTGCCCTTGATTTATTTTCTTGAAAAAAAAGGAAATTTAGTACTTGTGAAGTTGTGATGTCCTAACAATAGATTTCTGGCCAATAGCTAAAGCATAATGAGGTACAAATACATAGTTTGACAGGGTTACAACACTTGGCAATGTTAATAGTATTCAATGAGAGGGATCTATCCATATACAAGTGGTATAGGTTTATGCCATGCCATGACATCAAAGTTGACGTTAAAGGCATGGTAACTACTATTACTTTGGATTGCCGTTGATGAGCCAAAAAAATATTTTTTCAATTGATGTTTGGCTGCAATGCTGCATGTCAAATAGAGGTCAGCAAAAAATCAAGGTGCTAAAAATTAGAAAATCTCCTTTCTAAATCTATTGGTTGCTATTTTAATTTACAATATAATCAAACTTAATTTGTTTATTGCTAAGTTAATTTTTTTCAAAACTTTTAAAAACTTGTTTTCTATAAAATATTTAGTTTTGAGTTAATAAAGTCGAAATAAGTTAAGGATAAGAAAATACGGAACAAATTGTGTCCTAATGGCCTATAGACCTATATAAGGGCAGGCACAAAAAAAATTTGAAGATGCAATACTATGTTTGATCCTTCTTCTTAATTCCTCTACTGTTTGTTCGTTTCGCGGTCACATCACCGGTTTGTTTCTATTTCTTTTTTCCCATCCAATTCCAATTCAATTATTTGTTTCTTCCATTACACCGTTTAGTTCAATCATTTTGTGATTTATTGAGATTTTAATTATTTTGCTTTCCTTATCTATGTTTCTCTTTGGACTGATTTTAATATTTTTTTAATGCAAAATAAGAGGAGGGGGAAGAATTAAATTCAATCAAATACGTAACATTATTCACAAGTGATTTTATTATGCATTTCTAAATTAATATGTAGAAGTATGTAGAATCCACTTAAAAAATATATTGTCTTGTATACATTAATTTCTTTATTGTACATAGTGAAAATCTGAATACATAACCTGCCACAGTTATTTTTTATTTTTTTTTTAGGAAACGCAGAGCAAATATATTAATCAAAGGACAAAGCGTCCAAGATTACGCAATTATTTGAACTTAATAGCATTGTCAAATATAGAATTTGCAGGTGTTAACTTGATTATTTGACATTTGCACCACTATTTTGGGTTTAATTCACAAGTTTTAACATGCATATGTAAGACCGCGGAGAAAAGATTACTGAATTCATGCTCACTTGACAGGGGAGAAAGGATTATTTCCCCTTGCTCCACCTCACCAGGGTATAGATGGAGAATGGACTGACGGCTCCGGCGTTATTGTCTACAAGTGGAATGAGGTAAACAACCGGCCTAACACTGGTAGTGCAAACTGGAAAAAAAGATGGAGCTGTTGTTCCGAGTATGATGAAAATGCACCACCTTGTCGACACGGATATCATGTCTCATATGATGATGGTTTCACTATGTATTAGCTATATCTATGTCTATTTCACTTATAAGACGCAGACTTGTGTTGACATCTCACAATAGTGAACCTTGTACACACTTCATCCGATTTTAAAATGGAATATATGTGCTCCATTTCAATCAATTCTTGAAATGCTTAAGCTTTCGTTACTTACTTCTTTACATTGCTTATTATTTGACTGATCAAGTGTATGTGCAATTGCTATAATAATCCATCTGAATTCATGCATAGTTCAGGGATCAGAAATCACATGAAGCTGTGGTCAATGGTATGCACTAGAACCAGAAATTTTGTTTATGAATTATGTTTATCTGCTCTGTAAAATTGCCTTGTTTCTGAGTCCAATTTCATGAAAGTATTACAGGTTGACATATTGAGCTGTGCCGATGTTCTTGTTGCTGTGTTTTCATATCTTTTGTTTAGGGTATTGCTTCCTTGGGCTTTAATGTAGTTGCTAGAAGAATTTGGCAACCATTTTCCATCCCTAATTCTATATAAATCATCACTTAATTGGGAAGAGATCAGATAGTACTAGTTACTTGTATAATTTAGCAGCAAACACCATATATAATCCAAGATGAGACGGGAATTATTGTTTGAATAGATCGAGATACTCAATACATACAGAAAAAACATGAGTAGTGAGTATATTTATGAATATGTGCCTCTAGCTCTACAATTATCATCTCTATCAAATAAGAGCATACATATAGTAGATGACAAGCAATCAATCAAAGTTGGAGGAAAACGTACACGAACATAGCTAAGAAGAGGAGGAGGAGGCTAGAGTAGAGTTTTGAAGGATTGGTGGAGGTGGCGGAGCATTTCCTGATCACGGTTCCATTCAGGACTAGGTGCATTAACAAAATGAGCATACAGCTTATTGTTGGCACATGTAACAGAGATCAAACTGTGAGTAGCAGCACCATCAATTTCGTAATCGTAATACAGCTGACCATTCTCATCCCTCCTATCTTGAGAGGTAAGAGACTCAGCATTAGAAATCTGATCCAGCAAAAGAACGTCAGATAAGGCTAAGTTATTAAGCACCACATCTTTAGGAATAGGATCAAGTTGCCTAAACCCAGATAAGAAGGTTAAATACTCTCTTTCAGTCTTCTTTTTAGGATTATAGAACTCACTGTCAGTGCCATTAGTACCTTTCTCTACTTTAGAAACAAGCCTCTCTTTCCAACCTTGAGGGACCTCATATGTGTACTCTGCTGAATCTTTCTTGCTTGAATTCCCGCCATAACCTCCATAATTCGCGGCGCTTGCTGCTGTACCGTAGTAGATACTGTATGCAGTTGTTGAATCAGCCAGCGTTGGAGGGGAGCTGGATAGGACAACTGCGGCCGTGGCGATGGCAGTTAATGTGGTTGTTAGCTTGTTATTAGTTTGAGGTGCTGCCTTGGTTAAGCAGGTAATTGGTGTGGCTTTGGTTGGTGTTTGGGGTGGTTTTGTTAAGGTGGATGTGGAAGTGGATACTAGTGCTGAGCCTGAGAATATGGTGGCCATGACGTTGTGGACTTGTGGCTAATGTTTTTTCCTTCCAATGTTTCTTCCTTATCCTATCTGCATTTTTTTTCCCTTCTTCTCTAGATTATGTTCTTATCCAATAATGTGTCTCTCTTGCCCTTTAGGAGATCCAGAAGCTTTATCAAATTTCGACAACCACTTGTTTATACTTTTTCATTCTTTTTTAGTTGACACATTTTCTTTATCATTATCATGTCTGACAACTCATATATTTAACAATTAGCTTTTTTTTAATTATTAACAATGTGTCTCCGTAACAATTTTTTTTTATATATATATATATATATATATATAAACACTATCTTTTTACTTAAAATTAAATCAACTAATCTTAATTGAGATAGATTTAGATTAATTACTACATACGCGTGAGATGTTATAAAAAATCCTATCAACTAATCTTATTAATAATGTGTCTCCCTAACAATTTTTTTTTTTTTTTTTTATTTTTAAAAACACTATTTTTTTACTTTAATATTAAAATCAACTAATCTTAATTGAGATAGACTTAGATTAATTATAGTTATCCTATCTAAATAATATGGAGTAGTAAAGAATGGGGAGGTAACCAAAGTCACAAAAGTGAGTTCCCACCAATTTCACCAAACTTGTTTGGTTAATTACACAAAGTATGATGATGATAAAATGTGATCGAATTTTAATTAATAATTTTTTTTATTAGGAAAATTTGATTCTAATAATCCCACCTTTAACCGGTTCGCTTCTAATAATCCCACCTTTTAATTATTATCTAATAATCCCACCTTTGGGGGGTATTCTCTTCTAATGGTCCCTTATGACCGGTAACTTGTTGTTTGGGTAAGTTTTTTTTTTTTTTTTTTTAAAAAAAAAAAAAAAATCCTTGGCCACCAGGAGGTAAGAAAAAATATTAATTTTTTTATTTTTGTTTTCAAAACGATAAGGAAGAAGGAAAGGGAAAAAAAAACTGCTTTTTAAATTTTTTTTTAAAAGAAATATAAAAAATATTTTTTTTAAAAAAAAAAAAAATCCCTGGCCACTAGGTGGTAAGGAAAAAATTATTTTTTTTTTATTTTTGTTTTCAAAACGATAATGAAAAAGGAAAGAGAAAAAAAATTACTTTTAAATTTTTTTTTAAAAGAAATATAAAAAAATATTTCGACGAATCACAAAGTGACACGTGGCATATTGACCGATTACACCGGTCACCAACAAGTTAGGGACCATTAGAAGAGAATGTTCCCTAAAGATGGGATTATTAGATAATAATCAAAAGATGGGTATTAGCAGCGACCCGGCCAAAGGTGGGATTATTAGAATCAAATTTTCCTTTTTATTAATCAACTAAATTAACTGTCCACATTCGTAATCGGGCCCGGGTAGTGTCGTTATTGGGCCTTCAACAGAAGAGCATTGGACTCTTTCCATTTCTCCTATCGACCGCCAAAACAATTCCCCGCATTTCCAAATATCACAAAAAAAAAAAAAAAAAATGAAATGAAAATTAAAAAACAAAAAGAAATATTGGGTTTGAAAAAATAGAAAAATTCAGGAAGAAGAGAAGAGAAGAAACGGAAACCTAACCTGAATGGTGAAAGCTGAATAACATTATCTTCTTCCTCAATTCATTCCTCTTTCAATCTGTTCTTCCTTGATTTTTGACATGTCCAATAGGTATAATTTCTGTTTATTGTTGATTTGTATTCCTGAATTATAATGATTTTTATCATGTTTATTTATAATCTTTCAATTGATTGATTGAGCTGCCTCTTGAATCTTGATATTGAGCTTCATAGATTTATGATCAATCTTATTCTAAATTTTGTTTCTATGATTCGAATTGAAATTGGAATTCATATTGCTTAATCAATTAATTTGATGTTGTTTTCGTTATACATCAATCTTTTTCTTTAACATGTATTGTTTATTGGTAATATGATTTTATATACTTGTTTGATTTTGATTTCACTTTTATTAATCCACTCCAATCCTATCCTCTACGCTTATTTCTGCAATTTCATTAAGATTAGATATTTTTCGAATTTTGGATTTTTCCTTTGCTCAACAGCTGCGGTGCCTTTCTCTCTAAATTTGTTGTTTACTGTTGTTCTACGACTTTTTAATGGTTTTTTACCCGAATTTACTTCCTCTCTCCCTGTACCGCTCTTATGCAAACTCATTAAAAACTTAAGATATTACGCTCGCTTGTTGTTTTCGTTATTGCTCTTATGCTGCATTGTTTGTTTGTTGTTTTCTTTTCATCGTGATTACATTATGGTGTTATTGATCAACGTTAGGCTAATTCCAGCTCTTGTATAATTTATGTCAACTTAAATATCACTTATTATAGGCTTATCTGCAAGTTCTTTAAGCATGGAGCATGTCTAAAAGGGGAGCATTGTGAATATGCGCATGATTGGAACGCTCCTGCAAACAATGTAATTGATTCTTACCACACTTCATTTTCTATGTATGTTAAATTCTTGTCCATTTTCTTTCATTCCTTTTTTTTTCTTGCTCACTTTTGTTGTGCTTGCTTGTAGATTTGCACTTTTTATCAGAGAGGAGCTTGTGCTTATGGAAGCCGTTGTAGATACGACCATGTTAAAGTTTCTCAACTTCAGTCGTCTGCTTCATCGTCATCAACTGCCTACTCTGGAACAGAAATCCCTGAAATAACGAGTGGGATGGCTCCAGTCAGTCCAGTCTCCATTATTCAACCAGAACTGCCACCTTCAAGCAGACAATTCTTTCCTCCCAACAAAGCAGCATGGAGTCAACAGTCTGATATCTCTGATACTGTGGAAGATGATTTGATTCCTCAACCTAGGAGTGATAGACTGGCTGATCAAGTTATTTGCTCATTTGCTGCTGCTGGAAATTGCCCCAAGGGGGAGAAGTGTCCTCATATTCACGGGGAATTGTGCCCTACTTGTGGAAAACACTGCCTGCATCCATATAGGCCTAAAGAGAGGGAGGAACATTTTCAAACCTGTGAGAAAATGCAGAAACACCTTGAAGCACTGAAACGCAGTCAAGAGATAGAGTGCAGTGTGTGCTTAGAACGTGTGCTCGCCAAGACAGCAGCCTCTGAACGGAAGTTTGGTTTGCTATCAGAATGTGACCACCCATTTTGTATAACTTGCATCAGATTTTGGCGTAACAGCTCACCAACCTCTGGAATGGATGTTAATTCAACATTGAGGGCTTGTCCTATATGTCGCAAGCTTTCGTATTTTGTCATTCCAAGTGTGCTTTGGTATTTTTCGAAAGAGGAGAAAGATGAAATTGTTGACAGTTACATGGCCAAGCTTAAGTGAGTATTTTCTTCTCATTTCTCGTTAATTCTTGTTTGTGTTTGTTCAAAATATGATGGCATCTAGAGTTGGAGCCAGTAGAGGTGAGTTTCTCTGGTAAATTTTGGCCTTTGCATCCAAACAGGATATACTTCATGCTGTGTCTGGTTGTTGCAATTCTTATTTCTTTTTCTGAGGTTTGAGTTTTGGGGGGTTCTTGTCTTGGTCCATTTTTTTTAAAGGTCATTTTCTGAATGATCAAAACATAATGAGTTATAACTAGATTGGTATAGCTGTGTCAACTACACATGTAATGGGAATTAAACTCATACTGTGTTAGAAGAGATCTAGTTCTAGCAACCCGATGGAGAGAAAGGGAACAGAAATGGGCAGTAGCAATTTTTACTACCTCCGTCTCTTTTGATTGTTCTTGTTTTCCTTTTTGGGTGCATTAAAATGTCGTTCCTGTTTAGAACCTTTACTTTATTATCCCTAAATTACCCTTGCAATTTGAGAAAACTACATATATTCAATATCCCTTCTTTTTTTTTTGTTCCATTTATCAATTACCACCCGTAGGTAATCAATACCCAATTTTCACCAATACTCAATTATTACTCTTTTTCATTTTCAACATCCAAAATAATATATTCCAATTTCTTAATCTGCTTGAAAATCCCAAACAATTTCAAAAAGAGACGAAGAGCGTAATAAAGATGAAAACTATAAGTGCATCCCACAAATTATATAGAACTAGGCCTTGTCGATCTCATACCTATATACTTAACTGTCTAGTAAAAAACTTAAAAAAGAGTACATAACTGATCTCATATCTTCTAGTTTTCTGTTTTTCCTCTCTTTTTTCATCTTCAATCTATAGCAGTAGCACACCCTTCAATTTACTTTCCAAAAAACCAAAAAAAATACCCTTCAATTTCTGACTGACAATATCTCTTTCTGTATTTCATCTATTAAACTAAAAGTATGTTGTCCACATTTTCTATTAATTTCTCTAGTGTAGTGTTGTCAATAAACATCACTCTGTATCTCACCTGATAAATTTCATGTCTACCCCCACAGAATAATATAATGGAGTCAATGTTGAAAACTTGAAACCCTTTGAGGCGAATCTTTAAGGTATAGAAAATCTTAAAATGGATTCCCAACATAAGACTAGGTTCTTTATACATGGAGGCACTCCTTCCTTGGTTCCATTGCCTGAGTTCAAGGTTAATACCTAGTATTCAGTAATTTAGTAGCAAACTATTATTCATGTCATCGTTATGCTAGCATATCCCAGGTACTCTTACCCTTCCAGAATGCCTCCAACTTTGTAAACTTCTTTTCTTATCTCGTCTACTGAAAACCTGACTTTGAGATGCGCTTCTGCTTCTGCATTCTTTTCTTGATTGTCTCAATCATATTACTCTGTGATTCAAAAATTAAGTAGTAAGACGCCTTCGTGTATTGCAAGATCCCCCTTAAAGTAAAGGAACAAAAGAGTTGCTCTTCCACTCAGCAAGCATCGTAGTTTATTAATCTTGAACATCCAAGTTAATCAGGATACTCTAATAGTCTAGTTCTCTGTTTATGAAATTATCTTTATTCAGTAAACAAACAAAAAAGGTAAAAGGAGATAAGAATGGTGGTCACATGGATTATTTTTGCTGCTCAAAAATATATATCTAAGGTATCTGGGCTAGGCACAGTATTGCATCTGAATTTAGCTGATATTATTGCATCCTGGATGCAAGTATATGCACATGTTCCCTTTTTGTGTTCTTTCTTGACATTGTGTATATTTGTTGATTCCTACAGCCTTGCTGTTTTTATTTTTTACTTTTATCTTTTTTTTGTCTTCCCTAGCAGCTTTGTCCTCTGGTATCATTTTCTGGTTTTTAGTCTTACAATTTTACCTTATGTTTTTTCTATTCGAATTTCAGGTCCATTGATTGCAAGTACTTTGACTTCGGCAGTGGTTCATGCCCTTTCGGAACTAGTTGTTTTTACAAGGTATGAACAACCATCAATTGTCCTTGCAAGTTTATTCATTTAGGCTTTGGAACCTTGTAATACTGCGGTTACTTTGGAATTTGGATGTCATTTTTTGACTTTAAGACCTCATCTCGCATGATGGTCAACGCATTATTTTGTCGCTCTCTTAGTAACACCCTGCCTTTTCTGCGTCATTTTGGGAGGAGAACAAGTTTTGTTCAGTGGGGATGGTGGGTTTCTCACCATTGCTTCTTTGAATTGGAGGGTAAAGTAGTTGAGTTATAATTTCTTGCTTGTCTGCTTCCTTCCTGCTGTTTATGATGTTATTTTGGTCAGAGGAATTCTCGATGATGAAGTAAATCTTTTCCATCTTTTACGTAACCATTTAAACAAAGTTTAGCTCAGGTATGTTAGTAGCTTTTGCATCTAAACAAAGTCCCTTCTCTTCAACGTTAGTAGCCTTTCCATTTTATGCTTTCCATTAGTTTCTCTCAACTTGTGAGTAAGGCGCCTTGTTGTGTACCAACACATGGTCTGGGAGGCTTTATTTTTGGAAAAGAAATTTAAATATGTATTAGTAAATGTGGTATGAAAACTTGTAAGATGATAATGACCATAAGGCGGATCCAATAATGTGTCATTTCCAGTGTATATATTTAATATGCTTATTGTGAACTCTTGTATCAATCCAGTGATAGGATCATAAGAAGAAGCTAAATTAGACAACATTGGTGAGTAGTAGAAATAATGTGTCATTGCCAATGTATATATCTAAGTGTACCTAGAAATGCTGGAATTAGGTACAACCACACCCAAGTTTTGGATGTCTCATTCACTTTCTACATTATTATATTCATTAAATCCACTTTATAAACATTTATTTTGTGGTGCATGCGAAAGGGAAGAATGTAAACTATGACATTTACAAAATTTGCCTCTTACAATTGTAGAGTGAATAACCATTTGACCAAAGCTTCAAGAGCTGTAGAAAATTATTCTGTGATTATACTGATAAAGGTTTTCCTTAACTAAAGAAAAGACTATTATAAAGACTTTTTAATACCTGGTAGACCCTTTTATGTCATCACAGTTGGTTATGATGCCATATTGATTGCTGATGACATCAAAATGTTACACATTCACCAGATCCAAAATCCACTTGAAGCAGCAGCATAAATAGTTTACTTGGATTTGTTCAAGCTAAGTGTCCTGAAAATTCAGCAGCTGTCTTCATAGTCTATTTGTTGAGGTCCATGGCTGAAAGAAGTTTTAGGTTTATTGCTTTCTTTACTATTAGTATACGGCTATTGTTTCCATCTTGGAGAAACAATTATTGTCAGGTGACTCAGGACAATATTTTGCTATTTACTTAAACCTGAATAACTCAGTGCTATCAATATGACCGTGCTTATTATTCTATCTCCTCCTTTGATGCTCTAATACTTAAGTGGCCAAGTTCTTATTCCTCTCTCTCTCTTTTTTAAGTGGATTTAAGCTCTTTCGCAGTGCAGAGTATTTGATCCATATATTTTTTTCTGCTTGCTTTATTAGCCATGTATGAGAGTATGTTATGATTTCTTCATAATGCTTCTTGGCTAATTGATGATAAGAGCTTGACTGGGAGAGCATTGAAAATTTGATAAGTCTGAAAACAATTGTCTCTTCAGATCTGAGAATCGTCAGCACTCAGAACCATGACAGCCAGCTTGGTCAACAATCTTGAGTCCTCCTTTTTGGTACTTTGAGTAGTCCTGATTAAGCTTTTGTCTGCTGATTAGGCCTAACCAATACATCAATTTTTTGAGCGACAAGGTTTTGAAATCTCTTATTTGTCTCAGTTGGCTTTGCAAATTTGAGTTTGACATCCTTCTTTCTCCTTTCTGGCTCTCTTACTATAAAATCCAAGTCTGTTTTGTTGTCTTTTTGTGTGTATGTGAGCATAGAGAACACCTTTTTATCCGAATATGACACTAGGTATTTTAGTATATTATATATCATTTGCCAACTTAATTTTATGAATGATGTTATGGTGAGTGTTGGAATTTTTTTTTTTTTTTTGAAAGTTAAAGATAAGTCTCTGAACTAGCTAACCTCTAATCCAGTTATTGTAATGTGCTGCGTTGTTTGGACTCTAGATTACCCGGTTTTTTGTTTATCTCTCCTTTCAGCATTCATATCGCGATGGCAGTCTTGAGGAAGTTGTGCTACGTCATCTAGGGGCCGCCGATGGTGAAACTTTAATAGCTAAAAATATTAGGTGAGGAGCTTTCCCTCCTTGAATATCAATTTGAAATTTTCCCTCCTTGAATAACTTTGATTTAAATGATTTCAGCCTTGCGGACTTCCTCAGAAATTTGCATATAAGCTGAACCAAGTTTGGGAAAGTTTCCAGTGTGAGTGCTATTTTTGGACTACATATAATGATATAATTACCTAATTGTTAATGCAAGATTTACTGGACTATGATGTATGGGCAATCCAGTAGACTGGCACCCTTTGAATCTTTACATGCCCCACCATAACCTTTGAGAAACTAAGTTGCCATTAACATATAGAACTCTTCTTGTAGAGGGAAAAACTGCGGGCAACTCTGGATATGCAGTACTTAGGTGTGCTGTCTGGAAGAATTAAGGATTATAGTCCATGGTGACTTGTAATTTGCCATTATATTCCTTTTACCATCTAATCACTTTCTTAAAGTGTGTTCATCACGCACAGACAATCAATTTTTTGAAAGAATCTTCCTGACAGTATCATTACTGCAGTAGGATTTGACCTCCAAATTTGAGATGGCAGCCATCCCATGGAGGGTTGTGGCATTTAGGGGAAGGAGTTTGATGTTTTTGGCTTAAAAAAATCCACACTGGCCTCACGTCATACTTGCAAACAATTACTGACATGATCATTGTTTGTTAACAATGTGCACTATGCCACTATTTGCTGTCAATGTGTTTTGAGTGGATAGGATGGGAACTTGAAGTTGTCAGCCAACACAAACTGTCTTTCTTTCTTGTCAATATCAGCTAACACCTAAGTGTTCTCTTGTTAACATCAAACACATTCTACTGGTATTTCTTGATCCTTGCAGCTGTGTTCTGAAGGGTGGGAGGCATCATAAATTTGTAGTTGGAAAGCGTGCGTGTCAATTTTTGTTTTCTGGGTGTGGAGAAGCTAAGAAATTATTTTAGCTTGTGGTTATTTCAACTTCAATTGAGGAATATAGGTTAGCCATTAAAGGTATTGAGGCATCGCCATGGTCTGGAAGATGATGCTCTAGCTGGAGTAAAAGATGAATATTGAAGGAATGGTTTGGTGCTTATAAGTATGACTACTTATAAGGTTATTTGTTTAGAAAGATGATTTTAGCTTGTGTTTATTTCAACCTCCTTACATTGGGGGTTTTACTTGCCAGATTTTTATTTGAATATATTTTGGGAATTTGTCTTAATGCTGTGAGTTGATTTGGTGCTTAACAAATCTTTCTTTCTGCTTTCAGGTTTGTATGAATCTTAAAGAAACATGTAAATTCTGGAGTATCTGAATCATAATATCAGATTCCAGTGCATCTGAAGGTAAATGTATTTCTCATAACATAATATACATTTTAGCTTTCTCTATATTTTAATCTGAGCAATACCTACTCATTCGACACAAAATATTGATATCCAAATTGCTGCCTCATGCCTGGAATACTTCCTACTTCCATGAATTGACTGGCTAAACAATTTTTTAGCGCCTCCTTATCCTCAACAAAAGATTTCTTTTGTGCCCTGATATAAATATCTTTGGCTATTTATGGCTTATGAGTGAAAACTATAAAAAGTTGAAAACAGTCAAGGTTATTTTATATTGACCACATGAATAACAAGCGACTAAGCGAGTCGAACTTTCAAGAACAAAGGTATTCCCTCATTCACTAGCTTTTGCACAAAGTTTTAGGAGAATTATATAAAGTGTATTGGTAGGGACATGCAGGGTGGTTTATTGGAGAATTAAAGAGTACTTCGTTCGTAGGATGTAAAATGAGAGAAATAATAAAGAGTGTAGAAGGGACCATGGGGAGAGAGAGATAAGTGGGGACCAAATGAGAGAGAATTGTAAATAAAACGGTGTATAATGTTTTCAAAAAGAGAGTTGTGTTACTTGAATATAACGGAGGGAGTTATTATTTTGCACGTCATTTTCTCTTGATGACATTTCCGGTGTGGGCCTAGCTAGTTTCTGTACTTGCATTCTCATTTAATGTGATTATCACCTTGACCAACCTTGCAGAAAAGTACCACAAGTTCTAGTTTCTTGATGTTTCTTAGTAATGGCATTTGAACCTCGAATGGATACAGATTTCTGATGTATTTTAATATGTAATGCATTATATACGATACTTAAAAGATTTGCCTTGGGCTCTTTATTTCTTCTTGCCTTATTCCTTCCTAAAGCCCTATCATTCTCTCGCATACATTGTCACATTGCTGATTCTTGTATATTGGGCGAAAACTTGTGGCAGGATCGACTTCAGGCATGATAAACTGTATTGAAAATTTACACAAATTACATAAGGATAATACTTCTACATGTCCCAATGGGTGGCCTCTCATAAAGTTTCCATCTGCAAAGGATAATGTGAATGTAAGGTTGTTGTAATACAAGTTTCAGTAAACAATATTTTGTACATGATTTTTGCCAATCATGGTCCCATTTGCTGCAAGCTGTTTTGGTTTCAGTTGTGAAATGAAAGTATGATTGTTCGATATTTATTATGCCTGGGACCGGAAATGTCTTAATCTTGTAGCAGTTTTGCCGTAACAATTTACCTTCAGGTGAACAATTAGAAGCCATTCTTTTAATTGGCATAACTTGAGAATTATATGATCTTTTTTTGTGTGAAAACATACTAATAAATGTTATAGTACATTATTATTGTGGCTTTTTGTTGTCATGCCAATATCTGAAGATTTACGTAGAATGCTGGGATATATTCAGCTGTACATTGGTTTTTTGACAAGATGGTTGAATGGCACTTGGGGTTAGCAAACTTTATAAGAGAAAAAGAAAATTGTAAACAATACTTTTTTTTTTTTTGGTGTTTAGAGAGCCACAAGGGTGGGGTAAGAATCAATCTTAGATCTACAGAGATGGGGAGGGAAACTCTAACCACTTGAGCTATCCCTCACTCTCATTATAAACAATACTTTAAGGGTGATAATTTAATGTGTTGTTGTCCAATTTATCATTATATTTATTCACATTATTTCTTAATTCTAAAATTAAAGTTTTTCTTACATTTTTGTAAAGTCTTGCTATTAATACTAGAAGGTGGAGTATAAGCATAAGGATATTTAGTTCCCGCTTCCAAAAGTCCAATACCTTTGGTTCAATCAAAATTTTCTCATCAATTTTATCCTACCAAAAGTGATGCAAATAATGGGGCAAACACAAAGGAACAAAGGATATGCGTAGTAAATGTCTTGAAAAAGCGGGTAAATTACCATTAATTTTAGATCATTGATTTAAATTGATCAAATGTAGATTTTTAGAAGTTATACATTGAGATGATTAAACAATGCCCCATATGATTACATTTTTCTTTGTAAATAAATCAGCAAATATTGGTTGAAGTGGAGAATGTGAATAAGTTAATAAAAAAAAAAAAGGTTTAGAAACTAAGAAAGAGAAGAGTATTGCAAAAGTTGTCGCAATTATAAAGGCTTTGTTCTCTTCACCTTATTTTTCTGAAGTGAAATTTTTTTTAATGAAATAAATTTTTCGGCTACTTCTCCAAATGTCACTGAGCAATTGAAAAATTCACCAAATGCCATAAGCCTTTTCCAAATTCACGAAATACCACTGACAAATAGCACATTGACACCCCGTGCCATTAATGAGGTATGGACGTTAGTTGACCGTTAATTGACCCCACCACTTGTCACGTGTCACCTTCTGATTGGTCCGTTTTCTAAAAAAAATATTTTTATACAAAAAAAAATAAAAAAAAAACATAAAACCCTTGAAACCAACCCAGCCACCACCCCTTCAACCACTCGCTCCCTGCCACCGGCGACCTGCACCCTCACCGACAGGTGCGCTGGCGGCCGCTGAACCAACCCTCCCCCTTCCCCTCCTCTTTCGCTATTTTGCCTGAACTTCAATGGGAATAATCCCATGTTTCACACCCACACCAACCATGCGCCAATATCACTGTTCATCACAAAGTCGATCAAGATCAACGGCCCAAAACCATCAATCCATGCGCACGCACCAAAATTCATCATCGTCACTGAAGTATGCAGTGCCTAAATGGTGTATTAGTGGGTTCGTCACCACGAATCTCGAGAGCACGGCATGAGCGCACCATCCGGGTTTCAATTGGGGTTCAAGATTGAAAATGTTCTTTGCCAAATTGCTGCAATAATTAAATCCCAGAATTGTAGTAATTGGTTGCCAAATTGTTGTTTGCGGTAGGCGAACTGGTGATTGCGGGCTGCAGAGGTGCGATTGGTGGCGGGTGGTGAATTGCTATGGCTGAACTGGTGGTTGTTTGTTGATGTTGTTGTTGCGGGTTGTTGTTGGCAGGCGCGACGGGGGAAGAGGAGGACCGGGGAAAGGGAGGGGGCCGGCGGCTGCCGGCACGCATGCCGGTGCAGGTGCCGGCGGTAGAGGTTCTGGGACCTGCGGCATGGCTGGGATGGTAGGTGGGGTTTGGGGGTTTCTGTTTTTTTAATTTTTAATTTTTTTTTGGTTTTTTTATAAATTTTTTTACAAAAATTTTTTTAAAAAACGGACCAATCAGAAGGTGACACGTGGCAAATGGTGGGGTCAACTAACGGCCAACTAACGTCCAGACCTCATTAATGGCACAGGGTGTCAATGTGCTATTTGTCAGTGGCACTTGGTGTATTTAGAAAAGGCTTATGACATTTGGTGAATTTCGCAATTGCTCAGTGGCATTTGGTGAAATAGCCGTAAATTTTTAATGAACTAAAATTATTTTTATTGAACTGTAATTAATTTTACTGAATCCATATTGAATTGAAATTATTTACTGAACTGAAATGAGTATTACTGTATTTTTTTTTTTTTTGAATGAAATAGGAAGGGGTAATTTCATAAAATAATAATAGTCATTCGGCACTTATAATCATCCCTTAAGAGATCTAAATTCTCAATACAAGAATTAAACACCCCTAAACTAATGATATCGCTTCTGAACTGCTCTGGATAATTTTAGATGTCTTTGCATTGTTCTTGACGTAGCTCCATTAATGTATAGTTGCAAAAGTGAAAAAACTTGATTGGTCATCAAGATCTGCAAATTTACAAGACGAATCTTCTAAATCTACACCCCTATACCAACAGACCCGCAATTCCACAAATTTGCAAGACGAATCTTTCAAATGACTGACTATAATCACCAAACTGTTGGTGATCTTTATTGGCTAAAAACATTAAATTAAAGAAGAATTTGGGGCTTACCATCGTTAAAAATCGATGGCAACCCCTACGTTTTATTATAGTGGCTAGGTTTGAAAAGAGAGAATATAGAAAATTTTAGGGTTTGGAGTGATTTTTTTTTAATATTATTTATTTTAAGGCAGAGAGAATAGGGTCTAACAAAGTAAATAAAGACATTGATTAATAAAAAAAGGAAATTAACACTCAAAGAACGGAACAATATAGCCTAAAGCTTTGATCAGGGGAGAGTTTTTGACAGTCTATAGTCTAACAATAAGGCTTACTTATTACAAATAAACGATGCTGGACAACGGAATACATACTGTACAACGCCATAACTTGAACTCTCAACGGTCTTGACAAGCATGTAATGGATGGCCAGCCTCACTGGGCAAAAACACGAAGGCCTTGAGTGAAGATAGAATAGAAGTCATCCATAATGAAGTTGGACAAAGTGAGCCCTATTTCAATTCCACTTTTCATGTCTCTGCTCTGTGTAAGAGAGATGGCTCTGGTTCCATCAATTGAAATTTCTTCAATCTTCTTTGGCTTCCCCCACCCAAAATCCGTCTCATACAGGTTCACCTTGGGCGACCCAACCACATGAATATGATCTTCAGACTCAATTAATGTCTGCCATTCAGATATCCACCTCTCGGCTCCTCCTAAAACATCACTGTCCAACATCTTCACGGTTTGCCCAATTGCATCAGCAGCTGCCAACATGCCCTCACCTTCCTTCAGTAACTCCTCCCTCATTGCTACTGCCCGTCCAAACCCGACACAGTTACCAAAATACTTAGCAGATACCTGATAGGGTAAACGGGTAATACCACCTGCAATGAATCCAAAGTACATCGGACCCATTGTTTTGGCTTTAGTAACAACACTGTTTTGGACCTGGGCTCTTAAGAAACAGGTCCACACAAAGGCACAAGTGACAACGTAGGGTGACAAGAGAACAGGGTAGGATCTGTTGAGCTTGTCACACTGAGCTTGTAACCATCGTTTAGCATTAGCAATATCAGCTGAGCCCATGACAAATGTGGACCGGAGTGAGACATGAGCAGCAGCAGCAGCAGGAGGGGGTAGCATCTTCATGGACGTGGTTGGGTTGGACTCCAAGCCCAACCACTGCTCCAACATTATAGACTGAAGTCCATTAGAATCGAGAATCACAGACCTGTCAAAGGAGGCAGGGTAGGTTGGGACAATTGAAAAGTTTAGATGACCAAACTTGGAGAAAGAAGCCCAAGTGTGAAGGAAGTTACTAAAGGTCCTCTGATCACAAAGTACAGGATGAGAAGCAAAGCCAATGGAGAAACCAGGAGAAGGTGAAGGAAAGAATGTGATCTGAACGGCTAATAAAGGAACTGGGGAAGCAATGATAGTGGAGGATGCAATTGTTGGCAATGAGGGAACCAATTGTTGAAAGATATAAGCAGACTTGTAGGCATAGCTGCTTAAATCATTAAAATCAGCATTACACAGCGCAACAGTCAAACCAACTGAATCTGATTTCCCATTCTCTGTCAAGAAAACTAGATTATCCGGGAGAGTATGTGTAGTCGTGAGTTTACCGGCAAAGGGAAAGAAATATTGCATGGCAGACGAGAGGGAGTGTTTGAGTCTAGGGAGGATGTTAGAACTGAATTCCAAAAAAGAAACAGATACAGGTGCAAGTTGAAAGAAAAAGAGAGGTTGGAGTGGATGATATTGAAGCCAAGGAATGTCAAAGAAAGTCAGAGGGAGAGAATATGAATGTGGAGTGGTGGTGGCAGGTGGGAGGGAAATGTAGAATGACTCAATTATTTGGACTGCACTACTACCGCCAACACCATTAATTAAAGACGAAGGAGCCATTACCATATACAATATTGTGCTGCTGTTAGTGTACAACCTCCGGTCCCTCTTTATACGACAGACGCTAGATGGAAACAATCATCCAGCCAACAATCAGAGCAGTTTAACAAGAGCAACTGATCTTAAATCTCCATCTCAGAATGGGAGGGAGGCAAGCATCAAACAAGAACCAATTATAGCAGCAACAATTTGTATTACATAGGCCTACACTAATTTAGTGGGGTATTCAACTCTAACAATCGCGAAAAACGTGACTTTTGCATTATACTCTCTAGAAGCAGCTAGGGAAAGTTTGAATTTGATCATTGAAAACGAAATTAAAGGGTACCTGCCCATTTAAATAAAATAGAGCAAAGGATGTGATTGGAATATTATTTATACCCTACTACGAAGTAATAATAATGTAAACTTATAAATCATGATAATATTATTGATATTGAATCAACTACTTTTAGTGGAGCAATCTAATTGAGTCCTTTACATGACATCCTCGTAACTAATTTATATCATGGCTTCCACTAAATGCCAAATACACGAATAGGACATGAGTGTATAATAATATTCCTGTTACTCTGCTAGAAGCCCATCTTGCTCAGCTCAGCCGACAAAATTTGGCCAAATCTTTAATCAAATTCTAGATACCCAGGCTACATCAAATATTACTAACTTTGTAGTAGTGAATCCTACCAATGCTACCTTTACCCAAGTTGGGTACACGATAAGATATGGAGTAAAATTAAATAAACATACATGCTATCTTTTCAATGCCTATATATCAACTGGAAGTAGCAATAGTGCAATACAATATAGAAAGTAGCATAAAAAGGAAAGCATCAAAGCATTGACTAAAATGAGATATTAAGAAATGGTAATTGATCCGCAAAAAAGGACGTTTAATTAATGTAGCAACGAAAAGCCAGATAGTTTGAAACAAAGATTAGTATTGTTGAAGTAATCAAAGATTATAGGAAAGCGAATAGATAAAAGAGAAGCACAAACCAGCAAGACATAAATAAGAAATAGCACGAAGACGAACAAAGAAGAGACGGAGTTGCTTGGAAATTTGCATAGTACTAGTCAATATCTGAAGACGCCCAATTTGCTCCATCTTCTGAAAGAAATGCATGGATTTCAATGATTGCCTTAGCATAAACGCCATCGAAAACGGGAACCCGAAAGCCAGAGCACTCATCACAAACAACTGAGCGGAGGAATTAGCCGTAGTAGCAGTAGCAGCAGCAGCATTGGTATAACAGTAACAATAGTAAGTACCAATGCCTAAATGAGCCAGACCTAACAAAGCAACAATTCCGCTGACATTGTACATGGTTTTGAGTAGAGATTGTGTCACCTCCCTGCTTTCGTTTGCGAGAGGCGATTCGTCCTTTTCCACTGTTGGACCTTCAATCTCCTGATGCTTCGTATTCGGGCTAGGGTTAGGGTTAGGGTTCGGAGTCGATTCGGATGAGTAGTGAAATCGTTGATTGAGAATTGCAGTTTTCGGCGTTTTGTCAAAACTGAAATCAAGATTGAGATGATGATGATGATGATGATGATGAAGAAGCAGCTTCTGCTGCTGCAACTGCGCCATTGTAGTACCGATTGGAAGGCATAGATTTTGAAAGTGATTAGCGACTGAGGTTGCGGCGGTGGAGTGGAGTGGTGACGTAGAATGACGACAGTGCCGGAGAAATGAATGGTTGTTGAGGAAGAGGGAACTGAGATTGCGAGCCCGAGCTATCAAGCTTCTTCTGCTCATTTTTGGTGATGAAAATGAAGAGAGATAGAAATACCAATAATCTTAATCTATAGATGAGAGGATCGAATGAATTGAGTGCGTCAATGGTGAAGTTAGCCCTTTTTGCACCACCACTTCACCAACAACCACCGTCAAGCTGAGGTGCCACTCACTGGTGATTGATTAAGTAATGCCTTTAAATTCCTAATCGGAAATCAGATTCAAATGTTCAGGAGGGGTTGAATTTCACATATCTATTCTACATTTTTTTACCGCTCACGGGTTCACCATAATGGGATCCCTCTTACCATGGCTACATGCTTGACTAAGGGTGTCATTTCGGATTTTTGGGTTGAATTTACTAAAGACACTAGATAATAATCGAGTCATGCTCGCTTTTTGTTGATGGTAATTAAAATTAAATATAGAAATCTCATGAAAAATGTGATATGAAAGTCCATTAAAATAATAAATAATTAAAGTATAAATTTATAGACACATTAATAATTCTGAAAAAATCTAAACGAAAAAAAAAATAGTGGTTATATTTCACTTATCTATTCTACTTTTTTTTTTTACCACTCACTGGTTGACCGTAATGGGATCCCTCTTACAATGACTAAATGACTTGACTAAAGGTGTCATTTTGGATTTTTGGGTTGGACTTAGTAAGAACATGTTGGATCTGGTCTACTTTAAGATTGAAATATTTTACTATAAATTATTGTGATCATAAGAATTGAAATTTAAATCAGTCATTTTTTGGGTCAATCGGGTCAGGTTTTGACACCTCTACTTGACCAGCATAAACTTCGTATGTATTACCAATTTGCTAGGATTGACTTAAATATTTAGTCACCAAATCGACTTTATCTTTGAGCGACTCATGAGCTTACTAGCCACAGCCGGTGAAGCCAATATCCAATATGTATAATTAGGATTATAAAAGACCATAATAACCAAGAAATGATCCTTTTTTTTTTTTTTTGACAAGATACCAATAAATGATCAAAGATACTAAAAAAAAACTGTACATTGCGATACTTTTCTAATCAAATAGTCTTCAGAAAGTTCTTGTCCCAAAAATAGTTTCGTACCTTACAAACAAAAAGTTTCTTAAATAGATAAAATGGCTGGCTATGAAGCCATTCTTCCATCTACTATTTCCCACATCATGTTAGTCCCAATTCTCTCAAACAAGGAGCCAAACTTCCATGAAGTAATGATAAAAGGGATCCAAAAACTTCTCATTTCATCCATGATTTCCCCTCTCCCCTTTTCGCTTGTGAAATTACTTGTACTAATCAGTACAATCAACAAAAAACAAACCAATTTACTCACTCATCTGTTTCCACCTCAACAACCTACAAAGTTGTGCACAATCATTTACCTGGCTTTTCAACGTCTTCCTTTCTCTTATGCGACAAAAATCTCTTTTTCTCCTTTTTTTTTTTTCCGGTTATTAATACTAATGGAATTGAAGTCTCTCCTTTAACCCAAGCAGTCACCACAGCTAAACAGGTTGAATATGTAAACCAGGATCTAAGTTCCACAAAAAAGCCTATATGTAGTAATTAATTACAGCCCGCCAGGATTTCCGTCTGACTTGGCTTCAGTACGGATATAGGTGAGGCCACGCCCTGCAGTTATGTTTCCAGGAACTGAAGCCACACTCTCCACTGACGTTTGCTGGGTATCCCGCTTCCACTGCATACTCCTCATACCTGGTTTAACAGGCGGCCGTGCTCTATATGCACCAGGAAAAACCCTTGGAAAGGGAGCTTGTGCAAATCTAGGAACGGCAAATGGAGAACCACGAGTAATACGAGGCCACATCATCACAGGGTTGGCTTCTTGCTGCACAGAGCTTTTCTTCATAACCTGAATAGACATATTTTACTTTAAGAGCATGTACAATAGTAATAGAGTAAAATCTAATGCTAGGTTTTGCTTCCAGTTACACATATGCATAACAATTGGCAAACAATAGAAAATTGTCAGCAAATCATAGTAAATCATATTTTTCCCTCAAAAAAAAAGATTTATAATCATATCCACACCACTTATTTCGTGACAAGATTCTAGGTTTTGATGATTCCATCAAACTCACAGACAAGGAAAAAATTAGAAATACACAAGGCTGCTCGAAACATCTAATCAAGGCCCCTGAATTAAGAGAGCAGGGAAACACAATGACAACAAGTGTGTGGCTGGGTAACATCACAAAAAACAAATATCAATTAAAAAAAAAAAAAAAAACACTTTTTAAAAAAAGTAACAGAAAATGACTACATGAAACAGTACTTTCTACCTATACTTAAATTAATAATACATTAAAAATTAGAGGAAAAGGGCGACCCCCATCCATCAACAAGCACCACCAAATTGCTACTGAACCTCAGCATTTATATTTATACAGTGCCAACACATTTCCCCTATCCTACCCAATGAAAATTAAGACTCTTTTCTTTTTTATTATAAGAAGAAACCAGCAGATGCATCTTCAAGACCTCACGAAATAAATTTGAACCTGGATTCTAAACCAAGTGCCTAATTTTCACACCTCATCAGCACAACTTACTACGCGTAGATCTGACACTCCACGAGCAAACCAAGACAAAACACATTCATCTAATCACTGTCACTCATATTTAATTATGAACCAATATCTAAGCTCGATATATTTTTTTTGAGTTTAAAGCAATTGGTCTTCCTGAAAACTTCTACTCTGAATCAACCTGCAAAATTAGAAATCCCCTCACCTGAATTTCACTCATCTAATCTTACCTTATTAGCCTTAAACTTATTTTAATTAGGTAGTGTTTTCTTCACCTGAATTTTACTCATCTTATTGTATCTTACTAGCCCTAAACTTATCTTACATGAACATACTAGTCGTTATTGTATCATATCTGACTTGTGAACCTTTAAACTTCACCTACCTTATTGAACCTTATCAGACCTCATTAGGACTTATAATTGGCACTATCCTATTAGCTCTGAACTTATGTTATCCTATCTAGACTTATCAGCCTACAGCCATTCCTTATCTAAATTTGTTAGCCAGGACTATAATAAGTGAGGAAAAAAAAAGGTGAGGAGAACTCTTTGTAGGTAAGGACTCATCATACTCAGCAAAAAGATGATAAATTTTGCAAGTGGAAAAGAGGACTATAGCCTGGAATGTATGCCATCTGAAGTCATGAACTGCTCCCATCAATAGTCAAGTTATAGAAATAATGATATAACCACAATATCACACCAACCCCTTAATACTACACTCACTCTCAAATCATAGTAATTAGTCACCAAACAGCACTGGATTTGTGGGAAAATAAACCCACCTCTCTCTCTCTCTCTCTCTCTGGCTGGGGAAGGGAAGAAGCACCCCTACCTCCTAAGCCTCTACACTCATTCACTCATCTTAACACTAGTCAATGATGTAATCACCTAGTAATGATTTGATGACATCACCTAGTAATGGTGTAAACAGCCAACTCAAATCACCCCCACTCCTCACTCTTATGTAATACTATTATTACTGGTTTTAAAGTGCAGGTTACTTGTCATTATTTATTTCTAACATTTTACCTCCATAATCTTGCTAATTGCCATAATACAAATCAGAGAAAACGTCCAATAATACCATTACCAACTTCCACTAAATCATGGTAAGTGAGAAAAAAAAAAAGAGAGAGCGATAATACTCCCTCTATTTCAAAATAAATGCCTCAGAGTATTCAATGCAAAATTTTGACCGATAGTATCTTTAATTATCAATAAGTAAAAATTATAAAATTTGATATTCACAAACTATACATTGAAACGATTCCAACAACAAGTGTCCACATGATAAATTTTTTTTTCTTATACATTAATCATTAACATTGGTCAAATTGGATTATGTGACTAATGCAAAATGTCAAATCAGGGAGTTTATTTTAAAAAAAAGGGATTACTAAAATAATATAGAGTAATATAAGTAAGACTTGATAGCAACAAATCAAACAACATCTAGATCAATGTATGCCTTACGCTTAGGCGCTAGGTGATTAGGGTAGAGCGGCTTTTATACTCTCAGCGAGGTGCACCTTAGGCGAATGAGCTACACTTGAGGCGCAATTGAGGCACATCTAAGGCGCACACGAGCAAAAATTTTTAAAGTGAGGCGCGTCGAAGCGCTCCTAGGCATAGCTTTCATCGCCTCATTACGCCTTAGCCTTTTTATACACTAATCTAGATAACACTAATATCCCTTATCAATCATGACCATATCAAGACCTATCAACTTAAGTTTTCTTTCAAATAATTCAAGACATCATGGAGTCAAACAGGCCAAATGTTGATTTAAGTCCATGTGATTTTGAGGAGTGCAACCTAAGAAATTTTGTCACAAATAAGCTTTAAGTAAAAATATAACCTCAATGTTATCATACCTAACACGTTAAAGGATATATAAATCACACGGATGGGAAGTAGGAAAAAATCCTAATTCTATAACCTTTGTAGTATAGCAAAAGGTTAGGTTCTAAACCTATTGCTCAATGACACAAAAGGAAAACCGTACTTAAAGATAATAACGTCTACCACTATATTTGATAATGTCACAAACATTGAATTATAAGCACTCGGCATTTTAGGCAGAGAGAGACAAGAAATCCACAAAGCAAGCTCCAAGCTATGCTTGGAAAGAAACAGTCTTGGGTATCCCACATGGATACAAAGCATAGGTATTATCAGCAATATGTAGGAGTTTTGGGGGAATCCAGAGATGCATTTGTGTTTGACAACTAGACATATCAGCTTCTAATATACAAGATTTGAGAACTTCCAAGTCAAAATTGTAAATATGAGACCCAATAAGCAAAGCTAGTGAACTTAACTATTTACAAACAAAATAGAATAAAGGAACAAACTTAGAAAAAGGTTTTAAACCTACTAAATTATGCAAGAGATGGGTTAGGTTATATCTTCCTTGAAACCAAAGTATGTTATCCTATAACTGCAATAGGAAGGTTCAAAACACCCGAGATATATTAAAGGTGACAACTAAGTAGCTAAGACAGGTTGCACGAGAACGGGTGACACGGATACGGGAAAACGTCAATCTAAAACTAGGGGACACGGGTACGAGATATTAAAATTCATATACATGACCTACACTTAGAATCATAAATGCAAATATTACAAAATTATCAAATTAATCAGCGTAAAGTGCTTGCCTAATTGATTTCGTTTTCCACTCTAGTTCTATATTGTCATTTGGTCCTTTCATTAGATCACAATATATCATATTAACAATATCAAAATACTCTTACAGTTCACATATAACAATGAGCTATTTATGAAGGCACCACTATTATTTAACTATTACCTTATCTATCTTACTTAACTTAAATTTTCTCGTTTTAAAAAATAAGTTGAAAAGATAAGGCGACGTGTCAAAAAGCACAACAGATCGTATCACAGCAGGACACGGTCCGAGACGTATCGTCGTGTGTCCAACGAGTGTCAATGTCTGACACGGTGTCCGACACGGACACGGCAGTTGGGTGAAGTGTCCATGTACCCTTACTAAGACATTTAAGGTCATGATTTTAAGTAAATATGGTATGTCGTATGCATAAGTAGAAATTATTCATAAAGTTCATTTCTGATCGTTATAAGGGGGTGAAATACCGCTACTGCCAAAAGAATCCACAGATTTTAATCTCTAAATTGACCATTTGAAAAGTGTTGAGTAATATCTTCTGCCATTCCATATAATTCGAAATATATTCAGCTCTACACAGAAGAGTAGAAAACCTTTACAGACAGATGTATAACAAAACAACTTGCCTTGATGATACGCGACATAAAGGATGTCCCATCCAATGCCAAAGCATTATCTGCCGCTTCTTTTCGCATGAACTCCATATAAGCTGACCTGCTTCAGCAACGTGGATTAAACTACTCGTGATAAGGAAGAAAAAAAAAGTGTTCAATTATTTAAAAAACAACTTAACAAGCACGCATCCTCACCCTTTTGGATGTCCTGTTGCGGCATCAGTTAAAATTATCACCTTCAAAACTTCTCCAAACTTGTTGAAATGCCGAGACAGTGTGTCCTTGGTGGCAGCAAAATGAACCTAATGAAGCATCAGTTAAGAAATCAAACATGTACGAATTTCCCGATCCAAAAAAGTGATACTGTACCACCACTAGTTGCACAAAACTTACATTATTGACATAAATTGTACGTGAATCAGCATCTTCCAACGGAAGACCAGTCGAATACGGCCCTGGTAGTGGAAAATTGTCAGGCAAAATGTAACTACATATATTCAACAAAGAAGGCAGAAAGGAGTCATATCTCAGTCAAGAAAAGTAGAAAACTAACCAGGAGCAGTTGACCCCACAGTATTCTGGTTTTCTTTTTGGGTGTCTGCAGCAGGTGAACCCTGATATCAATGAAATTGCAGCTTATAAATTCCAACTAGTCAAGATTAAAGCAAATGAGCACAGAAAATAACTGGGACACACACACACACACACACACACACACACACAAAAAAAAAAAAAAAAAAAAAAAAAAAAAAAAAAATTACATTTCCATAAACAGTGACTGAGTTGCTATTTTCCTTCATTAATCGAACGTTTGAATTGCTAGCTCCAGTGTCAATCTCCTGTGTGGACTTTAGAGTCTCTACTCCTGGTTTCTCTCGTGCTGCTTGGTAATGGTGTGGTTTCCAAGTATTTACATTCACTGAGATATTCACAATTTTATGCTTGGTATTAGCCGCAGAAGCTGGTAATTCTTGATCTTTTCTTTGTGATTGACGTGTCATTCCCTCAGTATTTTGGGCAACACTATAATGCACCCTCAATGAATCATCGCGTTTAGCAGAAGTGCCGGTTTCAGAGACATCAACTCCTCTGACATCATCATATCCTTCATTATCAGATGCAGAATCAGATGCCAGGCCGGTGCTGCTGTCCATCAAGGATGCATTCACATTGTGTTGTTGAATGTTATCTCTAGTTTGAAGATACCTTTGACGTGAATTGTTGTGAATATCAAAATCGTCATATTCATCATCTTGGACAGCAGGTTCTTCGAAAAACGATACTTGATCAGAGCTTCCATCACCACGACTCAGTCTGTCAAAGACATTTCCAGTTCTTACCCTTTTGACATCATTGGATGCATCTTCAACAGCTTTAATTGCAGTTGCCATAGAGCTTTGCAACCTTGTCACTGACTGTAGTCTCTTATGATTAACTTCCTCTGTCAAATTTCCAGTGGGCGTAGAGACCACAGAGCGTAGTCGCTTTCGTGCTGGCTCTGATACAGAGTTGGAGGATCTTGTAGTTGCAACTGCTTCTCTAACAGCAAATTGAAGTAGCCTTCTGGGTGCAGCAATAGTTGCTCGAGGTAATTCTCTCTGACCAAAATGAATAACTGCATCAGGAGAAGTAGAAAAACATAAAGCATAGTGCAGGCCTTCTCTACCAGTTAGTGCTATAACGAAACCCAACCATAGCGCAGGCCAGAGACATTGCTCAAGCAAAATCCATATAAGCACAACAAATACATGATACAAGCAGACAACCTCCAAACAATTCTTTTTTTAACAAAAATAGCTCATTAGAATTTCAGTTCAGCTTACAAGTTTCAACTACAAGGGTATTATGAAATTCTCTAGTTCTCTAAACTCAATAAAACACCCAGCACCAAAATTAAAATGCCTATACAGCAAGTAGAAACAGATTATGACTAAGAGAAAAAAGGGGGAAAAACATTAATACAAACAACATTAATCACCAACCTTTGGCCGAGGATGGTCATCAGGACGATTTCTTTTCCTATGCACAGTACGTTGCGGTGAAACAGATTGCCTGGTATGCAAAGCATTGGGATAGGTTTTCTCTTCATGCTGCATATTATTGGTAACAGAGCTTCGGATAAGAGAAGGTTGAAGGTTATCTGTCACAAGTGATTTCCAATCCCTATTGTGCCGGCTTCTAGAGGTCTTGCTAGACTTTCCTCTATCAGATTCTGAGACTGGGTGACTGGAATCATCTTTACTAGGCTGCTCAGGTTTAGCTTTTGCCACCTCATCTGAACAAGATTGATGAGATCCTACATACTGGTCCAAGTAAGTGGCAAGATGGTCCCAAAGCCTGCATAAGTAGGGAAACTCAATCATTACATAGGTTGAATTTATTCTGCTGGTATATTCTACATACGTTTATAAAAGTACAGAAACATTACCATGTAACAAAAGAATCACTCTTATCGCCCAGAAAAACATCCAAGTCCTCCTTGACTTCCTCCTTGCGCCGGCCATTGCCCAGTAGAACAATGACATATTTCTGTAAGTCCAAGCAACCACATATAACAGTGAAAAAATAAATTAGGGGATGTCCCATTTACTGGACTATAGATTAAAGTAAGCCATATATGGTTTGCAAGTCACAGCTTACATGATTCAGAGACTACTTGTCAAGTGAAAAGCTAACTAAACTGAGACATATGCTAAAGCAATTCCTTTGACTTAGCCATGTAAAGGGTCTAGAGTACAAAGAGAAAAAAAAAAAAAAAAAAAGGTCTGGTGATGCAACATCCAATACCTACACTACCTAGAAAATTTCAGAAAATTTCGATTGGATGTAATCATAAAATCATAATTCAATCCGGAAAAGAATAGACACCTATGTTTTCTCTTGCAAAGGGGTTCATTATCATCCATTCTAACAATGGTTTTTTGCAAATGGGTTCAGTACCATTCATTCTAACAATTGTCTGCAAAGAGGTTCAATACCATTCATTCTAGCAATGGTCAATTGCAAAGGAGTTCAGTACCATTCATTCTAACAATGGTCGTTTGCAAACGGGTTCAGTACCATTCAATGTAACAATGGTCAATTGCAAAGGGGTTCAGTACCATTCATTCTAACAACCCCGAGATCACACTAAGCAATGGTAATAATCTTTTGAGTTGACGATATAACCTAACACTAGTACACAAATTGCAGAGATAAAGCAATTAAAAATAATCAAAGATCCGAAAAAGTTATATAATTCAATCAAATACAATCCATACCACGAGAGTATCATCAACATCATCACCCATGTAGTCCTTCAAAGTATCCGCCAATCGGTCTGCCAATTTTACGGCTCCTTCTTCGCTAAAAGCAACCCTAAATGTGCGTTCCCCATCTCGATTAACATCTTCCATGATAAAACCCTAACCGATTATTCTTTGCAGATATCTATGAGCAGAAGCAAAAACCCTAGAAATTCCAGATAACAATCAACAGAGAAATTCCCAATAATTCGTCCAAAAACAAATCTCCAAGAATCAATCAATTTTTGAATAATAATTAGAGTTTCCGCTAAGATAGGTACTTCGTATGTTGAATTGTGAGAAGAGCCAAAGTTTCGAGCAAGGAATTCAACGGTTGAAGAAGAACGAACCCATCAACATGGGATGGGATACCTCCAGAAAGTCTGGAAGAGCGAGGAAGCTTTTGCCTCCTTGTTGTGGTTGAGGTTGTGGTGGTGTAACTTGTGAGAAGAATGCTGGATTTAGGTAAATTAGCGGGCGACGTTGCTCCTCTAAAAACAACAATGTTCACCAAGGGGTGTATGTGTCAATTAACTTATAAGTAATGGCTATAATGGCAATTGAACGGGTAGGCATTAAGGGGTCGTTTGTTCGCACAATGTAAACGAAATGGAATCAACAAAGGGAAATGAGAGAAAGGAAAGCTAATCCCTCATTTTTGTATTGTTGTTTGTTTTACATAAACATAGGGAATCACATTTGCAACCACCACTACTCTCCTCCTTCTACAACCAGTCAACCACCACTACCCCTTAAATCTACCATTCACCTACCACCACCACCAATTTAGCCACCACCCTCCTCACGACCTGCCACCGTCTCCCCCGTCGCCTGCCCTGGCCACGTTGATTCCCTCCCCTCTACTGCCGTTGATGCTCTCTTCTCTCTCAATTTTTATTTTTTTGGGGTGGTTTTGTGGTGGATCTAGAGGTTTTGGAGATATGGGTGGTGGTTGTGTCGAATTGGGTTAGGTGGTTTACACAAAAGGTGGGTTTTCAGGTGGGTTTGGGTCGATTTTGGTGCGAATGTTTTCGGGGAGGGTGGGTTTAGGGTGTTTTCGGTGGGGTGGTTTCCAGGGAGGGTAAGGCGAGGTAAGGTGAGGCGAGGGTTTTCGGTGGTGGGTGAGGGTGAGGCGAGGGGTTTCGATGTTGGGCGAGGGTGAGGTGAGGGGTTTCGGTGGTGGGCGAGGGTGAGGCGAGGGGTTTCGGTGGTGGGGCGAGGGTGAGGCGAGGGGTTTCGGTGGGGTGGCTAGCTGTTTCGGTGGTGGGGAGTGTGGTGCGGTGGTGGCTGGGTGGTTTTGGGTAGTTTCGGTGGTGGCATCATTATGTAGACGATTTGTTGGTGGCTAGGCGATGGTTTTAGTGATGATTGGGCGATGGTTCTAGTGGTGGTTGGGCGGTGGTGTCGGTGGGCAATTGGTATTTCGAGGGTGGTCAAGGTAGTTACAAGGTTGGTCAAGGTAGTTGGGTGAAGAGGAGTTAGGGGGTTAGGGTGATTCCCTTGGGGGTGGGGAATGAAAATAGAGGAAAATGGGGTAATGGGAGGGGTAAAGGGAATGATTGAATTTGCCTATCAAACATCAACAAAGGTATTCATGACAGTTGATTCTCTTTCCCTTTGTTGAATACCCCCAACCAAACGGCCCCTAAGTTGTTTGACACAACAACCTTCACAAAGTTATTGTTAAATGAGAGCGAGGGATAGCTCAAGTGGTCAAAGCTACCCTCCCTCTTCCAAGATATTGCTAAATGAGGTGTTTGATGCAATAGCCTTCACAAAATTATTTAATTTTTATTACCAAAATACAAACAGGCCGAATGAAAGGCCTCTGTGTTTGTGAAATATGGAGTTGGGTTAATTATGTCGGTCTAAGGTGTGTTAAATATTTGTAGAAATTAAAACTAATCATCCTCTAATTTTTAATACATAAGTGACTCTGAAGCTAAGCTACCAGGCCTTTAACCTTTGACAAGTTTTCGATCACCAACTATAGCTACTGCTTTTGAGTCAGTAGTTGAGTGCTTAGTTGTCGTATTTATGCACATCAGCGATTACATGTAATTGCACCTAGACCTAGCAAAACTAGCTCATATCCAATTATCCCACATAAAGTATCCAATCCGAGATCAAACTAGACCCAAAACGACTAACACTATGTTTAAGCTACCTTCATTTTAAGCAAGTGCAACATCTAATTTGCAATCAACTTCAATCACTAATAATCATTGAACTCTTACACTAAAAGGCAATAGTAATAAAAAAAATTCAATTTTAATTAGTAAGAATAAGTTTTATTCATATCTTTATTCATTACAAATCTATCTTAATCAACAAAAACAATTTCACTTCAATAAAATTAGGTCAACTGAAATGAGCCTAAGTGAGAACACTATTAGAACACAGCGAGTAGATATCAATAAACACCATTGAAGCACGGACACCATTGAGCTAAAATTACAAATTAACAAATCATTGGTATTGATTCATTTTAACCTTGATATCTTATTTTCCATTATACTCTGAAACTTGTCCAAAATGAATCAACTCAAAAAAAAACTAGGCTATAATCTTGATAACATATGAAATAATACTTCGTACAATAAAATAAAATAAAATAAAAAATGCGCTACAAAATCAGAATATAGAGATTGACCAAACCCCATCCTCTTCTAAAATTAACCTGATTCGAAACTAACAGATTGTGGGATATGCTGTGGAGTATGTGGACCGGGTCTAGCTAACCAAAGCACAGCCCAGGGCCTTTAACTAGATTAAGTACTATAAAAATTTGTTAAGGTGCTGGATATAATAGAATTCAAACTGATTCGAGTATGACAGTGGCTAACCAAAAATATCTTCTGTGATAAATGGATTTTCACTGTTGATACAGGCATCAGATGAACATTGGAACTGCTCATAATTTAGCTGTCTCGCAGCTTCATAAACAGCAATGCCTACACTGACAGAAAGATTTAAACATCTGACATAGGTTTCCAGCATAGGAATTTTAATGGTTGCACCTCCATATGCTTCACTTCTGCAGTCATCGAGCGCATCAGGGGGTAGCCCACTAGTTTCTGATCCAAACACAAGCCAATCACCAGGTCTATATGTAAAGTCCTGCATAAACAGAGACCAAAGCTTTAATGATGCCATAAAATTTTAGTACAAAGCCCAGAAATTGAAAGAATGTCGACATTTGAGGGATAGTATCTCCACATATTGAACCCATATGCCTTCTTGAACTACTTCCAGACACAAGTTTATTTATTCATTTTATTAAGTTACTTACAAGAAATAAGATCCAATTACATTGTGTATGTATTGACAGTAGATAAGGTAGATAATAGATCTGCTACTTTGTCCTTGTAAAGTTATTATTGCTCTATTAAGAACATGAGGAGTAAACAAACAACACCACCACCACCACCACCAACAAAAGCCTTAGTCCCAAAGTGATTTGGGAAAAAAGTAGTAGTCATAAAGCTTAAAATGAAGTAGGTTATATTCCTTATCCAAAATTATAAGCTTTTTTTACAAGAGGTCAAAGCATTTAAGTGCAAAGTTTAATCAAGAAAGATTTCTGAGGGCAAAGTATCAACAACTAGAACATGTAAAAGCTATAGAAACCAAATGATTTTGTTTGGTCTTGGTTTCAGCCTGTATAATCAATAAACCACATGACAGTATGTTTCATTATTGGCTTTTTATTCACATTAAGGATCAAACATCAAGCGGAGATCGAGGGAAATCTTGGTAGTGACTTTCCCATTCCAAAGGCCACACCCCAAGATCTATTTTCTACCTCATCACAGATAGCCATCGAATGGGTGAAGCGGATGGGTTTAAGAAACATTTGCAGTGCTGTGGCACTGTGGCATATGCAGACCCAAGCAATCAAACCTTACCCACCAAGAAACTATACGGGAGTATACCAAGTTCAACCAAAAAATAGAATATATAGAGCTCCAAATATGATAGTAAAAGGTTATAAGGATGCATTGCTAAAAGTTTACACGTAAGTACTGCTTTCACAAGAGATCATTTATTCAGATAAATCTAGCATGATCAAGAGAAGAAACTAATAAACTATACCAGTTTATTATAATACTTACTGAATGTATTGCAGTCCCCCTCTTAATGAAAGCCAGTAACCGTTTCTCTCCATCCTGCATTGATAGGTAACAGCCATGATCAAGGAACAAGAAAAAAGGGGAAATAGATAAGGATATAAATGGAAAGCATCTTACTTGAAGTGAGAAATAGGTTCGAAAATCAGCCCAGGAAGGATGCACTTTGACAACTACATAACTTATGCTACAGTTAAGGGTATGTTACCAAGTGTATACACCTATTATTATGAAAGCATAGCTCCATCAAGTATCATATATTGTGGAAATCTTAGATGAAGATTATGAATTATGGTATTAAAACATCTAGCTCCACTCAAAAAATCAGGACTAGAAATTTGTAATTTGTGATATGCAAGTATACAAAAGATGAGTATTGTGAACTAGCGTGGATACGGCCAATAATCCAGTCCAGCACGCTTGAGTTTGGCATCATCTATTTTAAATCCCAATGGCTGTAGCACAAAAATGAAATTGATTATAATATTAAAAACAAATTAGCACAACCACCAGTAATTAACCAAAAAGCTATACTTCACCTCGACAAGGTGTAGTTTAACACCTGATGCAGCACAAGTTCTGGCGATGCACCCGGTATTACCAGGAATCTACAAGCCAGACACAGAGTTTTAGAGACAAATACCCTACTCAGTTTAGGTTGATTGAAGATAATAAAGAAAGAGATGGTCATAATTTGATGCAAGCTTTGAGGTTCCGTATCAGACTATAAACTGAAATACAAGAAGTAAAGATCAGAGTTTTGAACTCCACACATCATTGCTCAGGCTGATAACCAATTTAAGACATTTAGCATACTACTCCACAAAATAAAATACTAAATCCGATTAATTATGAAATTGTTTGGATTAAAATGCATGAATCACATGCATAGCCAGCTCACTGAGAAAAACTGTATTTGGAAGTTAATTACAAGAGCTAAAGATAACAAGTACAGAATACAAATTAGATTTAGCCGTCCTTGGAGTAGACACACATTTGAGGCTTAGACTAAGGGTGTGTTTGGTTTGATGTAAAATGTTTTCAAGAAAAATGGTTTCCTTATTTTCCCCATTTTCCTTTGTTTGGTTCGTGAAGGGGTGAAAAACAATTTTCCCAATGATGGAATATAACACTCTCAATGCTAGATAACATTTTCCTTTACAAAACAAAGGAAGCCTGATTTTCCTCCCTCCTCCCTACCTCCTTATTAGTTTCTTCTCATCTATCTTCACTTTTCCACTCCTATTTTTAATTTCTCTATAACTTTTCTTGTAAGGAACCAAAGTACCAAACAAAGGAAAACTAATTTGCAATTGTATTTTTCCTTGAAAATGTTTTACATGAAACCAAACAAAGCCCTAAAATGAAAATACAATTTCCCTAGCATTGTTTGAGGCCTCCAATTCAGGTTTATTGATTGATGAATGAAATGAATAACCTCACTACTGAATCAATTGTCAAATTGATAATGCAGTGCGGTTTGGACAAGCAATTACTAAAGCGAAAACTATTAAGAAGATATTAACAATCCGGCATCTCTCCATTCTGGAAGCAATTGTCACTTTTCAAACTTTGATGGTGCAATTCAGACAAGCAATTACTAACGCGAACACTAATAAAAAGAAATCAATAATCAATCCGACATCTTTCTCCGAAAACAATTGTCACATTGATAATGCGATTATGACCAGCAATTACTAAAGCGAAAACAAATACTTCGTAAAAAGAAGTCATCATCAATGAGTTAGGGAGTAAGATACCTGAGGAGACACCAAAACAACCTGAAGCATATTGTTGGAAGGAATTGATTCTGTTGCCGGAGCAGCTCCATAAGGCAGACCACTTCCAGGAACCTTTTCAGCTGTAATATATAAAACACAATTCATCATAAATTTGACATTACAATAAAATATATAGAAAGAGAAATATTAGTACATTACCAAGAGTAGAGAGTGGAGAGAATCTGGAAGCAGGCGCAGAAAACGAGAGAGGCGAAGGAGAGAGGAGAAGGTTGTTGTTGAAGCGAGAACGAGATAAGGAGTATGACGGAGGTTGAAATCGGAAATGGATGGATGAGTGGTTGAAGGTAGACGAAGACGACGATAAGCTGGATTTGCAGAGGATATGGATATGGTTTAGGGCTTTCAAATTCAGCTTTACTACTCCGCTGCCGTCCATTCTTTTTCTTCTTCCTCTTCTCTCTCTATCTTAATCCTCACTCCATAATCCCGCGCAGCAACCTCTAGCTACGGCTCTACCCAATCCATAATCCCGTGTAATCGTAGGAATTTTCTTACTTGTAAGTGGTACTCGATAATGTTTATTTTTCTTACCTTAATGACATGTTTGGTATGCGGAATTAAGGGTAAAGGTGTTAATTTGGGGGTTTGGATTGGACTTGATGAGATTAGGTAACGTCTAATTTCAACATAAAGTTATATTAAATATTGTGTCTATGCGAGTCGAATCAAATTAGGTTTTGGCACTTCCAATTAAGGGGTGGAAATGGAAATATATATCCCGACATTCGTTTTTTTAAATAAATGAGGAATGAACTCTCACCCAAAACGTATCTCTATTAGAGATTAAATCCTCAACCCTAGAATTAGAAGATTTTTTCTTTACCACTAGGCCAACACTTCATTACCACGCTATTCCCTTTGTATGTTTTATTTCTGAAGTAAATTGTCATTATGAATTGCATTTATTTTCTTCAAATTTAGGCTTTTTCCCCCAATGTTTGATACTTTTTTCTTAACAATTAATGTAGAACAATTACTTTAATATTTCATCCAAGCTAACAATGGATTTACATTGATGGTGGGAATCCTAAATAGATTCAATCACTTACCTCTAGCATAATCTTATGACAATTAGGATAAGTACATACATGATGTATTCACTATTCTTTCAAGAACAATTCTTATACGTGTTTGTGAAAACTTGTTGATTTAATTATGAAATTGTCACTTTATTATCAAATAGATAAATTGAGACGTATTCTAAATTATTAAATTGATATTGTATTAAAACAATTTATTTAACTATATTATACAAAGTACTTCACATAATCTAAAGGAGAGATTGTGGTATTTACCTAAAAAGACCTTAATACCCTTCTGGACCCGTGTTCGTTGCCCAAATGCCCACGTGAGAAACGGTGCAAATATTGGCTTCGCATTCGCAAGTAGAAAGGGGCAAAACAAAAGGAGAGAAAAGAAGAAGAGAGGGTTTAGTTAGGTGAGATAGGAAAACAACAAAGAAAGAAATGGGGGGAATTTACGGGACAATAGTGGAGTCAATTGAGAATTACACAGGGCTATCACCAACATCATTCATCATACTAATGGCGGTAACAATAATAACATACAAGATTGTTTGCACCATGTTTGTAGCAGTGGATGATTACAAATCCGTTGAAAAAATGAAGGAAATATTCGAAGAAGACATGAAAAGGGAGCCAGTTCACCTGGGTGAGGTGACAGAGGAGCAGCTCAAAGAATACGATGGTTCAGACCCAAAGAGGCCATTGTTAATGGCAATTAAAGGAAACATATATGATGTATCAAAGGGTAGAATTTTTTACGGGCCGGGCGGGTCTTATGCTATGTTTGCTGGGAGAGATGCGACCCGGGCTTTGGCCCTCATGTCTTTTGATCCCCAGGATCTTACTGGTGATATTGATGGTCTTAGTGAATCTGAAATTGATGTTCTTCAAGATTGGGAAAGTAAGTTTATTGAGAAATATCCCAAAGTTGGTGTTTTAGTTAAGGAGGAGGTTGTAGATTCTAAGAAAGCTGTTTAAGAGGGATGTAAAAATCTTTATTTGATATGTGATATTGATATCTGATGTCTGATTCAACTAGCTTTGATGAAGAATGTATTGAAATTATGGGTCTGATGTATTAGAATGTATTGACATTGTCTGTCTTACTGTGTTAATCTTGCATCAAAATGTGTTAATTCCAATTTTTCTGGATTACTTGTTGACTTTTTAGTAGTTGGTAATTGCTAATTGGTATCATATATATATGAATATAACATTTTAATGAGCAGTCTTTGGAAGTTTATTTTGGTTTTGGATTTAGTAGATAGATTCAAGTCATACATATCAAAGCGAGAAACTTGCTGTTGTGAATACAGGTAATTTGAGAGACCATAGTCTCTAGCTGAACTATTCTTTGAACACATGATGTTGGGTTACAGAAACAAATGCATTGTAGCATTGAAACAGAAACAAATTTAACCCTACCCAAACAAACAATTTACAGTCAACTTGGCGAGAAATAGATTCATCATATTACAGCAGGATTAGCCACTAAGAAGAAAAGCAAGGTAATATCTTTTACCTTTTGACAATGTAAGACATCCATTAAATTAAGGGATCTTCTGGATGTCAGATGAGACATGTTTAGGACTATGTAAGACATGCAGGCACACTGGAAGAAATAGGTGGTAATTACTCTTGCAGACACTAAATCAACATGTTTACAAATCTTCAAGTATCTGACCCTACTGTTATTTTTTCTCCTCCTTATCAATCCTGTAGTCTTGGTCACTCTGATATGCCCTGAAACTGAGCACAAAAAACTTAACTCTAGCTCAAAATTTGTGCCCTGAAATGAGTTTAGTTTGGTAGATCTCTCATCTAGAATAAGGTAGAGGCACAACAGCCGAACAGTATGTCATTAGTGTGCTGTCTAGACTGAGTTCCTTCCGCCCATAGTCTTTAACGCAGATTCGCAGAGGCCATCTTTCATCTGTATTCTATTCTAGCAGCTTTTTTTTAAAAAAAAAAAAAAATTACTCATGCTATTCTACTTGCTTATTATACATTGTCACCATATATTTAGAATTGTAGACCACTAATCCAGAATGAGAAAGAGGCAGGGTGTCGTGTGGACTGAGTCCTTTCTGAAGCAGTCTTATAACACAGGGTGGTCATCTCCCCTCTGTATTCTATTCTAGCTATTATGTTTTCCTTAAATGCTTGCTGTTCTACACCTCTACTTGCATTTACATAATCACACTTTTTTATTTGTTTTATTAAGGTGGCAGCTTGCAGGTATCAACTTGTATTTGACTGCTTATATTTCTTCCCTCCAAATATGTTATGAGTACTAATCCGGTTCCATAATATTTCCATTTCAGAGATATTCATCTCTATAACAATCCTCTTACTACTGGTTGGGAAATCTAATTCCTAGTTCTCCACATCACCACTTATATTTCTTGGTCAGTTTGATTGGATGCAATATCTTCCTACTATAGTTTTTCAAATGGTCTTTTGTGAATTGGATACTCCTTTCCTTTGAGGCAATCGTCAAGGAGTAGTAATTTTCCTCATTTTTTCCTTTATATTGGAGGGAGTGGTTGCTGCTTAAGAAAAGCAGCCTAGGAATATAACTTGGTCAGAGGGAGATACCAGCAAAGAGCTGTGTCAAAAGGGGGACATATGACAAGAAAGGGGTAAGTGATCAGGTAAAGGGAAGGGAGGGATGTCAAGTTATAGTAGTTGGAATCTGTATGGGGGGGGGGGGCTAAATCAGAAGATGGACTACTCGTTCAAAGCCTTTTTGTGGATGATATCATAAATTCCCTTGAATTTATGCAGACACATACTATAGAGGTGCTATAGGAGCAACCGAGCAATGCTGATCTATGAAATTACCAAACGCCAAAGATCTTATTATACCTCTCGCTGGTTGGAAGATTTGCATGGCCATGCTTATAACAACATTGTCATCATGGTTATTAGGAAACAAATCTGACCTGGGTTCCCTCAGAGCTGTTTCCAATGAGGATGCTAGAGTTTGCTAAGAGGGAAGGCCTTTTCTTCCTAGAAACCTCCGCTCTTGAGGCTCAAAATGTTGAAATCTCATTGCTCACAATTCTTACTGATAATTATCATGTTGTCAGCAAGAAAACTCTTGTTGCTAATTATGAAGCTGATGTTTAGTATTTCTACCTTCTTACTGGAAAGCTAATTCTTTTTCCTGGCCAGGGCCAAGTAAACACTACTGCTATATTCAGCTGTTTCATGACTTCATGATTGATCATCTTCAATTTTCCATAGCTGACAGGCTGACTCATTTTTACGTTTGTTTCCTATAATGGTACAAGACTACAAACCCAGTTCTGCACTCTGCAGGTACTGCATTTTGAAGTTTTCCTTCTTTTGATTTCCTTTCTCTTTCAGTCACTTTTTTGCATTTGATTAATTTGTAGACAATGAATTATTGAAAATTTTAGTGAGAAAATTAATATGTGATGAAGTATATGTATCCATGTCCTGTGCCCATATGTTATTGCAGCAGCAAGAAAGGAACATATATGCTGTTTAAATTATTCTTTTTTATTGGCCTTTGTCCGGGACTTGGGAGAGAAGGATATACATTTATATCACAATCACATACAGATTTACTATGTCTCCACTAGTGTCTCTGTTGAAATCGGGCTATCATTACTGAATAGTCAGGGGGTCCTTGTTGAGACTTGAAAGGTCTTGAAACTATTTACATCAAAGTTTATTAGCAATGATTTTCAGTAACTTTGCCTTCCCTAGTGTCTGTTAAAGTCAGGCTTTTGATTACTAAAAGGTTAGGGGGTCCTAGTTGAAAGTAGAAACTATAAACCTCAAAGTTCATCAGCAACAATTTTCCATCATGCTGTTTTGAATTACTATTTTTACTGACCTTTATCCTTTGGGACTTGGGAGAGAAGGATACTCGCACATTTCATTATACGAGATAGATTATAAAGTTTAAAGGATTTTCATGAAACATGTGTAATGCAGAGTGAATTGAAAGGTGTGTCATGAAAGGAGAGCGCAACCAATGTGGTGATCCACTGTAAATCCCAGTGCATAGCCATAACTGTTGTGACAAGAATTAAAGTCATCCCATTGCAATAATTCTTTGGGATCATCCCATTGCAGGAACTGTCTGCTGTCAGGAACGATTTGTAAAATAACAAATGATAATGAACACCTTATTATTGAAATAATCATCACAGTCAAGTACTCAACTCAGGGTGTACAAACTGAGATCTCTAAAAATTAGCAGTAGCGTTAACCACTGGCGTGAACAGTGTTGCACATGCCAGGATTCCTTGCACACCAAAGGGGTTGAATGGGCTCAGCCCTGACCCCTCTTCTCACCATCCTATACCTCCACTCATTCAACCTATCTGTGGCTTCTGCATACCTCTTCTTACCAGTGTCATCTCGATTCCCAGACCAAAGAGCCTCAGCTAATGCAGAAGCTCGAGGCCACAACCTGGAGTCAAGGACAGTTGGGTCAGCTTGTTCAGACCAAA